TCGTGACTCTCCAACCCAACAGTTTTTAACGCTCAATGCGGTGCATCCCTTGAATACGCGGCGGCATCAAATACTCAACAGCATTATGAAGAGAGTGTTTATTTCTACACTGGATGAATCATCAGCAAAGGGGACGTCCAGTTCGTGGAAAAGTCCCATATTCCCACCTCATTTTTTGATGTCATCAGAAACCTCTCTTATCTTAATTAACCCAATCCTATTTTGACGTTCAAAATGATCTTTTCAAAATGGTTTTTATTCGACCGATGGTAAATGCGAAGAGCCAAAAAACACAAGCTAGATCCATTGACTTAGGTTCATTAAAGGAAGCAAAGACACTCATCTCTTTCCATATCCTGTCAGCGTGATAGACTGAAGCTGAGTGTAATGGCTACAAATAACCATGAATGGAATCTGATGCTTTGACAAATCTCATGGCTTAATAATCCAAAACTAAATCTTCCACACCCTTGAATAACATTTTGAGGTGTTCTTCCATTTTCCCAGAAAAATACGTTCAGTCAACGTTTAAACAAAATTAGTTGTATTGACTCTTTTGGGAATGGAGTTTAGCCAATTGAGCATCTAAAGCCATGATGTTAAATTTGTATTCATACCTTCGGTTGTCGTGGCGTAGAGTTCTGTCCCACTGAAAGACATTTGACAACATGTGTAGTCTAAAGGAAAAATTTGTTACTCTTTAAAAAGAAACTGATATCGAAAACAGGCTTCAAAGGCATTTTGAAAAGCTCACCACTTTTGGTTGTAAAGGAGCAAAAGACAATGACTCAGGCAATGTGGAGACTTCGTCACCGACCAATTAGTTGGAGGAAAATTTGTTGTAACTTTTCTATTATTTTGTAGTAGTCCAGATTTACGATGTCGATTTTTTGGTGATATTTGTGTCTATTCCTTTGGCTGTCTCTGCGGTACCCAAAAAGCGCATAAGTCAGGAGGCGGTTGTGTTTTGGGCACATGGAAGAGCCGGGAGGAAGCCGGTAGCAGAAACAGCATATGCAGTGTTCGTGCTATCAGTTAGGAAGTCTAATCTTGCAGTCAGATGTACAATTAAGACAAATGTAACTCCGTTAAACAGCAATTGAAGTGGGCCAATCAAAGTGGGTGAAATTCACTTCCCTCTTCGTCGTAAAAATTTACAAATCACCTTGCTTAGGCCATCTGATTTGCACTTTAAAGCCTGTGTTTGATGCGAGAAGTATTTACTCGGCACCGTATTTCTTCCTAAGAGGCGTCCATTAGTAATCTGAAGGATTCCAAGTAGCGGCATCTTCCAAGATCAAATAAACTGCATTCGCCTCACTCTATAATTTCCTTTCAAGCACTAAGATAGCCTCATATTTCCATTGTAAGAACTGCCTGCCTACCCTCCTGCTCTTGAACCTCGGACTTCAAGAGAGGCTTGGCTGCAGATGATTTGGCATTTGTTACAGGAAGAATGGGGATTGGGGTGCAGATGAGCCGAATAGGAGATATCAACTGGAGAGAGACTCCTAACCACTCTCACGCACGTGATTCGCGTTCCCAATTGGCTCCCACCTCTCTCCTATGAAAGTCCACTTAAACAATCTAGTATATATTACATACATAAGCAACAAAGTGAAAATCAAGCCATCGCTAGTCTCACCATTGTGTATGCACTACAGTCAATGCGTTTAAAACAACCCACCAATAATAGAAGTCATTCATTGGTCAGTGGTGGAGTGTCGGGGGGAGGATTGTCTGAGCAGTGCACAAAACCGTGGCATATGTCAGTATTGAGTCGCGTATGAATTAATAGACCACAGGGAGAATGGGGAGTAGGAATTGGAGTGCATAACCTACAAATGACCTAGGCCATTTTTATTTACCCATACGCACGCACTTGGGTACGCAAGCGGACACGGACCCGCTTCAAAGTGCCCGTGGTGGCTAGTGTGGCAGGAACAAGATTTATGCCGGGGTTGTCTGGACTCCCAAAATACGGGCACACAGGCACAAGGGTAGACAGAGGCTACTGTTGCTGCTGCCTCTGTGATAGCAGTGGGGGTGGCGGTGGCGGTGGCGGCGGCAGCGGCAGCGGCTTGTATTATTAGGTGCTGAGATGACTAATGGGACTGGAAATAGGAATGATGGAAGAAGGAATATTTTTGTCAAATTACCTTTTTCCTTTATCGCAAGGGACTGAAGGGGAGGAGGAGCAGGAGGTGGTGAAGAAGTTGCCGCCACTTATCTCGAATAGACCGGAAAAAGTAGCCACCACTGTCATGGTGTGCACAGTGTACGTATGTGTAATCTCCATCCAGTGGGAACATTGAGGTCCAATCTTTTTGTATCGCGGTTGTAACGTTAGCATTGTCCATTTGTGTGAAATGGGGCAACAGATAGTCCCTCTTTATGCATTACATTATCGTTGTGAGCATCCATGGCAAAGTCTGCCATTTACTGGAGCGCTATAGCTGATGAGCACAAATTTTCTAACTTCACAAATCTAGACTACTAGTAAGGTGTGTTGATCTGAAAGCAAAATAAGTCGGTATAATCCTACTTTCGGGCTTTTTTTTTTGAAGGAATTTGTTACAATTTGCTTTGGTTTTAATGTCCGTTAGCATGCATGATGTCGAAATCCCTGCGGAAAATGAAATGGCGCAGCTCACATAGTTTATTGCCCTCAGCAGCACCTACATTTCAACATTTTAACGGGAAAAAAATGCGATACACAAATAGCGCTAATTCTGAGATCAGGGCACTACCCTTCAAGCATGGAGTGGTTTTAACCAGTCCGATTTGTCACAATCAGATGTTAAAGAATTATGAAGAACTTGTATCACGTATGGTTGGCGGGAAATGAGAAAAATGAGGCATTACATGCACGTAATGCAGGAAGGGCACACATTCAATTTTGAATTTTGCCTCAGTTATTAAGATGTGAGGTTATGGGAGGAGAAGTTATCAGCTTCCTTTTTATCGCTGTTTCCGACATCAACAGAAGACCAAGACAGGAGGGGAAATAGGATCAGAGAAGAAAAAGTCTCTCAATGTAAGCTGACAATTACTGAAATGAAAAATAATGAAAACTTCATCTTCTTGCAAGGATACAGTCTTTGACAGACAGCTGAAGGCGTTCTTTTGTGGCTCTACGGAAGAGCTGTGATTAAGACTGGCGACAAAGGACATTTGTTGCTTAAGTTTCTCCACAAAATGAGGATTTGATGGCACAAAATTGAACACTGCCTCGATCTGACATGTCAACAGAGCTACGGTTTCGTGATCAAGAGTCTTTTAGAGCAGACTATTTACTGATAAAAATACTGCGTATTCTTAAGGTTTTAAACCAGCCGGTTGCAAAATCTTTAACTGCTCTTCTTTGCAGACCAGATTTTTGAAGGCTTTGGGAAGGAATCCTTGGCAAATGAAGTGGAAGGAGCAGACTAATCAGACGGCGAGCTGCACCAGAAAACATCCTTTAAGTCTTTACATGAGCTCAATCCCAAACATCGATGTGGTGCTTTTACTACGTAAAATATTTTAAATCCCTGAAATTCGATTTCTTCCACACTAGTCATGCTGCTTGGAATTCCAGCATTTCTGTTTTAAATTACCTCTTCCGTGAAAGTGTCCCGCCCCTAACAATTCAGCCCCTAGAAGGATGCTCACTTCAAGGCAGACTTATGCGCTACTGGGTCTGACGTTTGATGCTCGAAGTGAAGGTCAAGTCAAATTGACCCTACAGAACCCTTGAGTTCTGCAGCAGAAACACAAACGACCGAGACAAACTTTCATCACGTCGGCAGCCACGACAATGACACAAAAGCAGTAAAGAATTGATGTCGCCTCGTGTTTCGACCACCTTAGGGTAGATGATTGCAACTAAAGAAGCAAACAGGATGAAAGTCCTAAGAAGTTATGCGCAATTACGATGTAATGAGAGATTCTTTCGTGTAGAACATCTTCAAACGTCAATTAGAACCTGGTAAATACATTGTTAGCAAAGGATCTGACAAGCAAAGTATATCGCATCTAGATGCCTTCTCCTCATCTCCCTCCACCAGCAATGCTTTTGTATCGGAAAAGCAGTAGTTGTGGGCAAGACTCAAGGCCAAAATGCCAATTGATCTCGCCATAGAAAAATAAGCGCAACGCATGGAAATGTATTAACTGAAACCTCTAGATGAATCATACAAGGACTAGCTGCCGGTTTTTATTGCCTGAGCTCTTCTAATCGCCAGCAACAATCGAGGCTGATCAGGGCTTATTCGATTTCGCAGACCAGATTGTCGGTGTCTGTCTAAACACAAGTCGTTTATTGCCCACGCGTTCAAAATCTAATCGAGAAACCTTAAAAATGTAACTGCTTTGATGGAACGTCCTTGCATTCGTTGCTCAGTCTCTGGTCCAGTCATCAAACCACGTCACAAGTAAGACACTTTTAGCTTGAGGAGATTTGTATCGCCAGTTTTGAAGCGTGGCAAAACGTGCAGAAGCAATGACGAAAACCTGGACCTAAATGATTATGCTCTTACAGATACTCTGACAGCCAACAAACAAAAACCCGAATTTTCGGCACCCGGGAATCCCATTCCTGACACAAACGGCAAAATCTCAGAACAATTAGCACTCACTCCTCACTTAGAGGGGTGAAGAAAACACCAGAGTACAAGAGAGGGCGGGACAACACACAATGATAAGTTATTTGGGCAGTTTTTAATAATACCGTTAAAAAGCAGCAGGTTTGTGGGACGATGAAGAGCAGAGGTAGAGCGAAAAACAATGCTCGAGGAGAATAGGTTAAATTCGCGTAAAAGGACAACTGGCCAGTCAGTCAGCTAGTAAGTTTAAATGCAAGTTCTATCATCAATGGCGCTTTTGTTGGAGGGGAGAGAGGGATGTGGAGGGTAGAGGGAATTGTGCTATTGCGTCATCGATTGCTGAAACTTGAAAGACTATTTTGTTGTTTTTAGTTCATCGAGAGGGAGTAGGGAGAACAAGAGACCACCTCTGTATCAAACGCATTCACTGGTGTTCGGCGGTCGATGCATAAGTGAAGCTAACCCTCCATTACCAGCTGATGCATCACCACTCTGAAATGGGAAGCCCTGATGCCGCTGGAACCGCTGATCATGAGGCAGCGCAGCCGCAGCCAAGTGCTGATGCATGTAGCACTCGCCATACATCTCCAGACCTGACTGCCCCGACGTTGATGAATATCCTCCACCCGTCAAGTCTGTCGGTGCAGGAGCTGGCGGCGGTGGACAGATGTGACAGGACTGACACGCACCACTTGAGGTGTAACCGACAGCTGAAGCGGAAAATATTGTATTGGCGTCTGTGGCAAAGACAGCGGCTGGACGATCCACATCTGTAGCATCAGCTGACAGCGGTCCCCCATATCCAGGAGTTCTGTAGGTATTATTGCGTTCAAACTTGGACCTCTGTTGCTGTGATTGCTGCTGTTGAGGTGGTTGCGGATGTGGTAGTGGTGGTGCACGACTTCGACAACCCCTAAAGATAGCACGCTTCCAGCTCACTAAAGTCTTTTTATTGGCCCACACCCACATGCCCGAGGTGATACCAACGACAAATGACATGAAGATTCGAAGCATTGCTGCCTCTGATGAGGGTGAGTCGTTTGGATGGCATTCCGGAAGGCCCCATGCCACGCCACGTGGAGAAAGACAGTGCGGCCGAGCTGCGTTGAGTTCTCGCAGTGCAGCGCGCCATCGCGGCTGTCCAAGATACTCGTACAGATTGCTAGCGAGAAGGCAGGCCATAGGGAAGGTGTAGAGAACTACAAAGACACCCAATTTTGCAATTGACTTCTCCAGACGTCGTCGACTTTCACGTTCCCGCTCACTGGGTGCTTTAAGCTTTCGACGGACACGAAAAACGGCCGCAAAGCCTACACTGAGGAGAAGGAGACCGAGAAGCAGACAGATGGCTTGGGGTAGGAGAACGCCGAACATGAGTGATGCCTCGCTGTGAAACCCCGTATAGCAGGTCCCAGTCAATTCATCCGCGTCGATTTTATGAAGAATGAGGATGAGAATAGCCTGAATGGCTGGCAGAGCCCAAGCGAACATGTGAAAGACACTGCTAACTGATTCGACGCCCTCGTGGCCCCACTTTCTTGATGTGGAAAGATACCAAGCAAGACTGAGCATTACCCACCAAAAGTTACTCGCCATTCCAAAATAATAAGAGATGAGGAAACCAACAGTACACCAAGTGCTCTCCTGTCCTCCCATTAAAAGATGTTTCTGAATATCTGCGCCGTTCGAGTCTCCAGCTTGCAGCGACCGACAGGTAACACGCTCTGGACCGAGAGCGTACTGCAGGATGTAGCCCACACCAATGACAAAATAGCACGCAGCGAGGTAGAGAACTGGCCTTTCCGGGTACTGTAGACGCGAACCGTCGATGAAAAATGTGAAAAACGTGAGAGCAGATGAGGCAACGCAAAGAATGGACCAGCCAAGAAGCCAAGCGCGCGCAAATTTCTTGTCACCAGGTCGGTAGAAGAGGTCAGCACCACAATAAGTAAAACAGGTATCGTTGGAGAAATGAGCCGCTGAGAACTCGGCCCCGGAACAGACATTACTCGACCCGCTGGATGCAGCTGAAGCAGAACCATCAGCAACAGCAGCAGCAGCAGCTTGGATTAGGGTATCAATATTGGGTGGACCATGGCCTCGTTTGAGGAACAGATCTTGCAGTTGGGGATACATTCTTTGCAGAGATGCTACGTTACTGGAAGCAGCTGGAAGAACGGGCTTCTGAGCATCCAGAGCATAGCCGTCCGGCTGGATACAGAGGTCTGGAGGCTCTGGCAGATCATCACAAGCCAGTTCAGTAGGCCAGCTAAACTGGAACTGTTGCATGATTGGCTCACAACGACCGCGTACATGGACACAGAGGGACTTACAGGGCTTTAGAGGAGTCTTTTCCAATACTGGAGCACACATTGGGAAGTAGATGGTGCAGAGGAAGAGTTTGAGGTAGTGAGAACAGTTAATGTTCAAGAGGGACTTGTAATCTATCATGCGCTTAGCCGCCTCTTCTTGGGAGGTCATTTTAACCCAATTTGGCATCCTTGTATCGGTGTATTGAAGCCCCTGACAGACAGGCTCACGAATGGGTGTACACTGAGCCTGATCGTCGTCATCGTGATAGTTTGGGGGCTTTTTCAACCCGTGAAAGGGCTCAGAATCGCCTTTAATTGACGTCGCCGTCAGGAGGAGGAGGGGAATGAGCCAAGTAATATCCTTCCCTGTCATGGTTTTTGCCTTTCGCGACATTAAAAAACGCAAACAACCAAGCAAGTAGGCAAACGAACACAAACAAAAAATGGTACGCGCTCCAACGAGGCTTAGCCAAAAACAGGAAGACACATTTGCCGACAAGAGAACTCGTGCGCATACATACGCCGTGTAAATACGAAGTGCGCGCTCATGGGCAACCAATAAAGCATTGCCTGGTTTTGATTGGTTACATCGCGACAAATCAAAGCATGGGTAGGCTTGCACGCGCGAGTGTGTGCATGCGTACGTATGCGACTATAGTGTGAAGTTGAGCGGTAGGATTAGAGACGCCGCGGCCTTTGAAGGCGAAATGAACTTGGAGGGCGACATGTACCCACATCACTAGAGCCGCTGTACTCATTCGTTGTAGTTAGTCCGCTTGTTCGACCCCTGGTCGTCAGATGAATGCCGATTTTGCGACGCCGGTAGACTTACGCGTGTCAAGTTGTGCGCTCTACCGACGCAAGTAACATCGCAATTTGTTTGTCCGTTTGCTGGGTTCCCTTTATGATGATGGTAGGCACGGCGTGTTGCAGTGACATGCATAGATTGAAGTGTGTCTTTAATTTGGTTTAACGAGGTGGGTCTGTTTTTAAAATACGACCTTGGTGCCGTTTTGATGACAAGAATGGCCTCCTAGTCTTAGCAATGCAGATCTAGCTTTTTATGGAAGGCTTAATTAAGTAGCTGAGACCTATATGTTATACTGGGAACATCAAGTGCATCGTGGGGCTAAGTCGGTGCCAAATAACTTGAAGCCACTCAACAGTTACATTGGTTTTCCTGGTTGACTTGTGGCGCAGATTTCAATTTTAACCATCTACAAGCGACCCATTGTCAAGCCTATCTCATTACCACTTTTAATCCTTGGTTCAACTCTGGCCAATGCCGATAACTTCAACGCTGCTGTACATAGGTCATTGTTTCAGCAGAGCTCCAAGGCACCAAGCGAGGCAACGAACCATTTACGCAAAAACTATTTTAGTGGTAAAAAGCGCTAGACACAATTCAGCACCTCAAAAAAGCGGTACTTATGGGATTTCAAAGCCAAAAAAGACTCTACTATCCACTTTACAATAAATGTGTGTCAAGGCGTGATGGACTTACAAGATGTTGCGCTACAATAATTACATTGGAGGCATTTTCCTGAATAGGTTGGTCATTGATGCGTCGATTTACTTTGTACCGTATTGAGCTTTCGCAATTCGTAGAATACAAATTGGAGAAAATTTGGTTTCAAAGTCATGCCGGCTCATTTGTAGCGGCCTCGGGGTGACGAATTTGTAAGTCATCAACTCTATGACTTGACATTTAACCGAACTAGTATAACAGTAGATTCATGAAAGCACATATGGGCAAATAAACAAAAAAAAATGGTTCACGCTGGAGGGCGGTTGCTTGCACTGGAACCAAAGGTTCCGTTGTTGCATTTCCCTTGCCTGAGGTCATGGCGATAGCCTCGGTACGTCTATGCACCAACAGTCTGCCTTTCACCAAACCCCATTGACCTTCCTCCAACTTTGGGCAAGGTCTTTCGTTAAGAATAGGCTTCAATTCCGACTTTCTGAATTTCCCATGAGTCCAAGTCTCTTCTCCAAGTCCCTCAGTCGGATATGATTCTAGTGCAGTGCTACTCTTCCTCTGTTCCTACTTAATGAAAGTCATTTTGAGTAAAACCGAATCTTTTTTGTATCTTGCATTCAAATAAGGGATGTCGCTTGGACAGGCATATAGAAAGCATTCATTCCAAGGCAACTTCAAAGCCACCGAAACGATGTGCTGTTAATCATGTTGCCAAGTGGATGAAAAATTGCTTGACCCCCGATTTGCTGCCGTAGACGTGACAGCAGAAAAGCACAGATGGTACAACAAAGTGTCGGGTAGCACCCAGACTCCGACGCCATCTGACAGGCTTCAACGTGCTCGTTTTCTAGCCTCATCACCTAACGCGACGCGCATTAACCTGCACATAAGTAGTCCGGTGGTGATGCCTTAATTTACCTTGTGGTAAACTCCACATTGGTTGTTTCAGACAAAGATCGAGGCTTCAGCTGGTGATGGAGAGGAGGGGGATAGAAGGGGAGAGGAAGATACGTCAAGATGAAAGTAATGAGGTGGCTACTGCATCTATTTTATCATCCAAACAATGACGCCTTCTCTGCCAGGACCTCGTATCCGTGAGATCCTAGCCTTCTTATCAGAATTCGCTTGCCGTCCATATGTGACGTGTTTTCTCACATCAACTTCGAAGATCCAATGGAGTTGAATCTTGTGGCCCATAAAAATTTAGTGAATTTAGAAGCCTGATTCAGTACGCCCGGTACTTGAGGTGATAGCTGTTTATTTAAACATTCACACTGCTTTGATTTGCAGTCTCCAAGATTTTGATATTAAATCGGCTGGAAGTTGAAACTTTTGGTGGAGGACGGATGCTGTGTGCCTAAACTGATTAGGCGCAAGAACACACATAGGAATGAAATTTTCCATGATACCCTGTTATTATTTTTTTAAATTCCCCCTCATATTCGTTATTTTTTAATTAAAAATATTTAACACCACAGCTACAACAATCCCCAATGCATCTTCTACGCAGTTACCGGATAAAGCTCTCTCTCGCAGCTTCGAAGTATCTATAGCACTACGCAGAAAAGTCGCCAAAAAAATAAATGTGATATCTACCCTGGCGATTGTCAAAATAGCAACGATTGATGCGGTCAGGACCAAAGTGGCGGCTTCGTAATGTTAGCCGCTTGGAACGCCAAACATTGGCAAAGTTATCACCGCTAGCGAGGCTACCAACCAAACACATTGGGTGAGGTCCGCAAGACATACTACTGAATCGTGATTTAAATAGCCATAAGTAGACCTATGCGAAGTTATTATTAGTTTATGGTATTGAAAAGTACTTTATAATTATGCCCATGGCACCAGGTGATCGGGTTGATAACAAACATTTATTTACGTTGTCAAAAGTGTGAAGTGTTGCAGCCGATTGCGGCCTTTATAAGCATTCAGATGCTTAGTGGCCACCTGCACACCGTTCTTAGGTCCAAAAAAGTCACCATATGACTAAAGGAGTTTTTGCGTAAAGATATAAGGAGAATTATGGTGCTACATGGTATGGATTCTGGGGACAAATAGATACCAGGAGCAACAAGCATGGACTGCATAAGAAAATTTTTATCGGCTATTCCATCCTTAAGCATAAATTTCAATCAACCTCTCTTTTGGCAGAATCATATTTGTTTGTCACTCACATTTTCGTAGTGCTGGTTTCAGGTCACACTTGTGTGACAGGAGCCTCACGTCAACCTAAGATACAAACTGTTCATTATGGGTGAGGTTAAGTAATGCGAACTAATAAAGTAGTGAGGGAATATTGTTAACCTGGAGATGAAGAACTGCAGTTAAACGAGGTACAGGATACTAATAAACGGTTATGACAAACTAAAATGTCACAGTTTTGTCCTCCTTTGCCCCGAAAGCCTGATAAACGCTTACGACATTTATGAGTCCTTCAAAAGCGCAAACTTAACCTCCAACTCACTGTCATTCCATAGCTTCTTAAAGTTAATTTTGTGAGCCTCTAAAATTGCCTAACTTAAATAATAATTTCATTTCAAGCTCATTCACAAAATAGTAGCAAAAATAATATTGTCCTATCCAGGATTAGGTTGAACGGCTTGAAGGCCGAGATCGTGACCACCTCCCAAATGCGAATGCACAGCAGTCCTGCATTTCAACCTTTCCACTGATAGTTCCCACGAGCATGTGCACCGATTTTGCGGGGGTGGGTGGAGGGAGAGAGAGAGAGCGGAGTAGCGACAAGCATTGGGAAAAATTCACACTCTTAAAGGTTGGGTAAATAAAATATAGCCCTCAGTAGTCAACGCGCTGGTTCGGCAAATTGCCAAATGAGTGGAGAAAAGGCCGAATTCCGGGGTGACGAAAATCAAATCTCCTCGATGAATTAATTATGAAGCTACAACTTTTCGAGACTGCCTGACCCGCCTCCAGCGAAAAATGACCATGGCTTATGCAAATTTGATTGACTAAGTCTACTAAACGACTACACGTCACCTTTTCGTGTGTTTGTGTCTGTGCAGCTGACGTCCAGACAACAAGTCACACGTCCTGTTTCTAAGTAGTAATAGTTTATTTTACATCCTCCACAGTGCCCGCCAAATCGTCGGCCTCCACACGTGCACGGATATCGAGACGCCAACACCTGGTAGGAGTGGTAAACAGTTAAATACACCATTTTTGCATTACATAGACTTCTCACTCTCTCGTAGCTACTATCAAGGGATTGGTACCCTATCAGGAAAAGATTGGCAGTTATGCCTTGGAAAACTGTGCAGGTGTCAGCGTGTGACCCTCGTGTCAACGGTATTCTACCAAAGACCCTTATACTGCTAGCTTTATAGCTTTGTCAAGCCAGAATGACAGTGTGAACTGTTCCGAAATTAAACCGAGGGAAAGCATAGACGTCGCATGAGATACTTGGAAGGGTGTCCCTAATCGTTCTTGAGAATTTTCTACAGTGAAGAAAGGCAAGTTCACAAGGCATTCTTCCATTAACATTCTCTTCATTTCCAGCCGCTGTTCATCTCTTTCCCCATTTTTGGAGATGGACCTTGGTAACATATTCCTCCAGGATGCTAGAAATTATTTACCCAGGATTGGATATAAGTCACATTGGATCACATCAAGATGATCGTTTGTAGCAGTTGCAGGTTCATTTTATTTAAGAATTTTGTCAATTAATTATGGTACACCGACCCATAGGGTGACTTTTTCCTCCTTTGATTAATTGCCACATCGACAATGTAAGTTAAATAAGGGCTGAGGATTTGCTGCATAAATTTATGCAATGGTGGAATCGGAAGTGGTCCAAGTTGAGACGCACACCATTTGTTCTGCTGCCGAAGATCCCGATTCTTACTGCCATTCTTGAACGGCAATGACAACTTGTC